TATTCCTCAATGTCTTCTTTCCCTTCGGAAGCTCAACTAATTCATGTGTTTAATTTTTCTGTAGTGACTCCATCTCATCCTGCATTGCTTGTATCCACTTGTCTTTGTCCACATGAGTTTGTTCTTCCTGAAAGCTCTCTGGTTCTCCTTCGTCAATGAGCAAAAGGTACTCTGATTCTGGATATCTCGTTGATGAAATCCGTCCTCGTTCTGATCTTCTTACCTGTGGATCGTTGATTTCAGGAGGTGCATCATCATCTGGCTGATGTGATGGTCCAACAACTTCTGGTGAAGAGGATTGTGACTCCCCTTGATCAATATTCCCTTCTTCATCCTCTTGTTCTGCTTCCAACATTTTCTCATGCACATCGTCGTTATCTATGGTGAATTGTGTTGGTATTGGATCTGGAGCAATATTTTGGGCACCAAAATTAGAATTAGGAGTTATTGTGGACTTTTCAATGTCTTCTAATGTTTGGTTTTCATGGAACACTACGTCCCTGCTTTTGATGACCTTCTTTGTCTTTGGGTCTCATAATCTGTATCCAAATTCCCCATCTCCATAGCCTATAAAGATGCATGGAGTGGTCCTTGCACCTAAGTTTTGTCTTAGCTCCTTGGATACATGTGCAAAGGCTAAACAGCCAAATACTCTCACGTGAGAGTAGGAGGGATATTTACCGGACCATACTTTCTCCGGAATTTCAAAATTCAATGGCACTGATAGTGATCTGTTGATCAAGTAGCAGGTGGTTCGAACAGCTTCTCCCCAAAATGGCTTTGGCAGCTTAGCCATACTTATCAAGCTTCTGACCTTTTCCATGATTGTCTGATTCATCCTCTCGACGACTCCATTATGTTGTGGGGTACGTGGGATCGTCTTCTCATGTCGAATGCCGTATGTCCTGCAATAGGCATCAAACTCTTTGGAAGTATACTCGCCTCCATTATCTGTGTGGAGACATTTCAGCTTCTTTCCTATTTCACGCTCTACCATGACATGAAATGATTTGAAGTAATCCAATACTTAGTCCTTTGTCTTCAAGAAATATACCCACACTGTTCGAGAAGCGTCATCAATGAATGTTAAAAAATACTTGTTACTGCCTAGTGATTTAACCTCCAAGGGACCACAAACATCAGAATGTACTAGATTGAGCAACTCTGATCGTCTCGTAGAAGAGAAATTGAAGGAGACTCTATGTTGCTTACCAAATAGACAGTGACTGCAAGAATCCAGTGCAGCTTCCTTGGCAACTGTGATTAGCTCTTTCTTTGTTAAAGTAGACAATCCCTTCTCACTCATGTGACCAAGTCTTTGGTACCACAAATTTTGAGAAGCTTCACATTCTACTACGTTGAGGCTATCCACATGCATTTTCATATGAGTCTTGTATAAAGTGCCACATATATGTCCTCGAGCGACAACTATGGAACCTTTCATCATTTTCCATGTGCCATTGCTAAATTGATTGACATAGCCCTGTTTGTCAAGGGCTCTCTCTGAAAGTAGATTTAGTCGAAGATCAGGTACATGTCGAACATCCTTCAGGGTTATCTTACACCCGAGATTCGTTTGTATCTGAATATCACCAATTCCTATAAACTTAGAAGAACTGGTATTTCCCATCTTCACTGCACCAAAGTCGTCGGCTTTGTATGCTGTGAAGAAATCTTTGCGTGGAGTGGCGTGATAAGATGCTGCAATGCTCCCCGTTGTCTTCCCCGGTTCACTGTGACAAGGGCATGTGATTGGTCCATGTCTACGTCTTTTCTTCTAGCCTCTTCATTAAATAGGGCATCCTTAACCATAGACATGGTAAGTTTGCCATTAGGGGCTGAGTTGCTAAGAGATACTACTAATGTCTCCCAACTATCAGGAAGAGAACTTAAAAGTAGTAAGGCTTGTATTTCATCCCCAAGCGGCATCTCCACAGATGACAATTGGTTTACCAAGCTCTGAAATTCACAGGTGTGCTCAGCAACTGAAGTTCCATTCTTTAACGTCAGATTCACCAAATGCCTCATCAACAGGGTTTTGTTTCGAGCAGTCTTGGCTTGGTACATGTCCTCCAGAATCTTCCAGAGAGCATATGCATCTGTCTCCTGTGCTACATGGTGAAAAACACTATGGTCAATCCATTGTCGAATTTGACCGATAGTTTTTCTATTTAACTTCTTCTACTCCGCCTCCTTGGTAGGATCGGGGTTTTCACCTTTGGCTTCCAAGGGGTCATACAAATCCTTACAACTAAGGAGGTCTTCCATCCGAGGCCTCCACAGTGTGTAATTGGTGGCAGTGAGTTTGATCATAGCTCCTGATGAAGATTCCTCCATTGACATCTTGACTTGTAAAAGCTTTATCAAAAACTACGAGGGTTAATTGATGAACCAAGCTCTGATACCACTTGTTGTGATTCTCCGATTACGAGAAGAGAATAAAAGAGGAAAAACAATTCTATTTCTACTTGAATAGAATTTACAACGGAGTTTACGAACTAAATAAAACCTCTCAAAAGAGTCTCTCTAATCTCTCTCTTTTTTCTCTCTTCTCTATCCTATTTTTCTTCCTCTCAAGGGACATTCTAATTCTCTTTATGGTAGCTCATATTTATAGAAAAATCTTGGTTACAAACCGTCATAAACTTCTGGCCAAAAAACAATTAAGAATTGCGGCTAGAGAATTTCATTTCAAATTGTCTTCTTGCATAGATTTCTTCTCCATTAAGCAATTGAAGTTGTGGTCGTCAAAAGGTGGAGAGTTTTAATTCAAATTTTCTTCTTCATCCATGCATGTGGATTCTTCTACATTAAGAAAATGAAATTCAATAATTTCGGCTGGAAGAAGCTAGAAGAAACTTGATTAATATGCGGCTGGAATACATCAATTACGTGCCTCAGCTTGCTGATGTAATCCTCAAAAACAACAAAATCACAAATATAAACTTCATTAGCCTGAAAGGTATTGTGTAAGCTTTCTGGCACAATATGCAGTCTGTTTCTATAATGTGTCTTTCTTATCAAGAATCATAAGATCTATGGGGACGTGACTTTTCAGATTGGGAATGCATACATCGACTATGCAAATACTCAGACCCCACTTTTGACCATTTTTGGACTGCATGCTCTTATATCTGATGAAATTCGTGAAGGAATCATCTCAAAATGCAATTTTTTATCTAAGGCCAATGTTTCAGAAGCATGTCAAAAATACACAGATCAAGCCTTGGACACAACAGGAAACATCTTCATTTAAGATATTTATGCTCCCTTGTTCTCTTCCTCTTCAAGTGCTCCCGAGGTATATCTTAACAACTTATTCTTCATACTTTCTCTTTCCCATAGTATTACTGATTTCATTCTTCTTTGGAAGTAGATATCGAGTTTTGATCCATGTTCCGACGATTATGTCTTTGCCTATTTAAACACTCCTGAAGTACTGCACTTGTCTATTTGATACATTTTTATTACGCTCTTATACAATACTAGTTTATTTCATTTTCTACACATTTCCTTTAACTAATTACACTTTATTTATATGTAGCAACCCCGTATTTTATGACTGGCACGACTCACCAGATACATTGTTAACTTCCATAAAGACGCTAATGGCTAGCGGCATTAGAGTTTGGATTTATTGGTAAGATACCATTATGCATGCTGATATGTTGTTAATACAATATTATGGATATATACACAGTAGCAAATACTCCTAAAAAGCTAACTTTGTTTGATTGTTTGATTGTGTGAATGTTTATTTCCTTGACCTCGAATCGACCTATTATTAGGAATTTTATAGTTATATTAAGCTAACCTTTTAGTTTCAACGTAAGTAAAAACCTAAAATGTCTAGCGGATGTAACCGTGACATTGATGTTGAATCACTATAAATCTATAGTGTGCTTTGCTATTTTTCTTTGGTGATTATTATCCCTTGGGTTTAACCTGTTAGTTAATATTATGTCACGTAGAGCACATACAAAGTGTAAATTCTCAATGGCATATGCAGTGGAGATACAGATGGAATATTACCAGCTACAACAACTCGGTACTCAATGCACAAATTTGGGTCACCTATAAAGACTCCCTTGTACTCTCAAGGTGAGGTAATCAAGAAACAACTAATTTTAGTACACTGTTTAGCTCTCGTCGATCTGTACTAAAAATATTATTCTAACCATTTGGCTCTCACTTTAAGGGTTGGAGGTTATGTAGTCGAATGCTGAAATGTGACATTTGTGACCATAAGAAGATCGGAACATTTTGTTCCGAGTTACCAGCTTTGTCCTTCATTGAGGGAAGGGCACAGGGCTAAACAGGAATCAAGATGAACGCAACTCGTAATTGTAAGTTAACAGTGTCCATGGTCTCATTAAAGGCTAGTGGGTTGTGTGAGAAAGTTTTTGATAAAAATTGATGAAATGTGTGGTTGAAAAGTTGATAAAAATTTTAGAACTCTGTGTTATTAAAATTGAAACATGGCCAATTAAGAATTAACGAAGTTTTATCAAACAAAACACTTTAATATGTCAACCAAATGATTTAGAGGCACACGTATAATTTCATTATTATATGCATATTATTTATACATTTTAGGTGAAATTCATTGGATTGGAATATGTGAAATCTCGAATATAATAAAAAGTAGGTTTTTTCTTCCCAATTAAATTTTGGAAAAATTGCAGCTGAGGCCCCAAACCTTTCAAACAATTGCAGACTTTTTCCTAACCTTTCAATTGTTGCAACTGTCACCCCAAACCTTTCAAATCATTACAGCCAAGGCTCCAACGGATGGTTTCCATCCAATTTGACGTTATTTGACCAAAAAAATCAATTTTGACTACTTTCTAATCAATTTTAAAAGGGTAAAATTAGGGATGTAAACGAACCGGGCCGAGCCGGCTCGCGAGCCTAAAGTTTCGGCTCGGGCTCGGCCTGGTTAAAATGGCCGAACTTTTTTGCTGAATATAAAGAAAAGACCCCAAAAGGGCTAGGATGCACCCGCAATCACAATCTGGTGACATCAGGATCTCAACTTTATCTTTCCTTCAGCCCAATTCTTTTTAAGATTGCGTTTTTCTTTTCTAGTCCTTTGTTGATGAAACTGCTATACTAAATTCAGATAACATTGATATGGAGGTCATTGAGAATGTGGAACTCGTTGAACCAGGAGTGGATAGCATTAAGCAGGTTACAACGTCAAAGTTGGAAGAGACGTGCGTTTTGGTGGAAGGAAATGAGCTTCATATTGTTCAACAAGGCACCGGCAAACACAAGTCATACAAGGTTCTCTCTCTCTCTCTCTCTCTCTCTCTCTCTCTCTCTCTCTCTCTCTCTCTCTCTCTCTCTCTCTCTCTCTCTCTCTCTCTCTCTCTCTCTCTCTCTCTCTCTCTCTCTCTCTCTCTCTCTCTCTCTCTCTCTCTCTCTCTCTCTCTCTCTCTCTCTCTCTCTCTCTCTCTCTCTCTCTCTCTGTATATATATTGTTTCTGACTGAGTAGTTTCTCTCAGAAAAAAATCCGTGAAGCTTTTTCGTCAAAACTGAGATCAAGAAAGAGACATGAGTATGACCAGTGCATTCCCCAGGCCGGACTTTTAGGTGGAACTGGAAGTACAGAAATCGTGATTCCTGATCTTACTCTGGATTTTGAGAAAATGAAATTACCGGCACAAGATTTTTCCGAATCCGATTGGGAATTTCTCTAGCTATTCTGCTACAAGTGATGCTGCCCCTGTGAGACAATGACTGGTAAATGAAGATGCCATCTTGATTTGTAAATAATGGCAGCCTAAATGTACTCTGTCAATATGGGAAATTGCGAATTGATGTTTGAAATTCAATATTCTATAATGCACATAAAATCCAAGTGTTAAAGTGGTTTATGGCCTGTTTAGTATTTGTAGTTTACATATATGTCACTCTCCTGGATAAGTTATAATTGAAAATTCAGGTTATTTGACTTTTTCTCTTCATCTTTTAGTAAGATTTAGCCATCAAGATATATTGTGGCCTATGTAAATTTCAGCTACTAAACATGTTTCGGCGAGCTATCCTTTTTTTTTTTCCTTCCATTTTTTGAAGCAACTCTTACTTTACCTTAAAAACTCGAAATAAATTATAATTTTAACTCGAGTTATTATATTATATTTAAGGTTCTATAGATTGAGTTCGACTTGTCTTTACACGTCTACATGCAATTAGTTTGTCATTAAGGTTGCCACATTTTATCATTCAAACAGCTTTCATGGAATATATTTTTGAAAAGTTGATCACGTGATCATATTTTTCTTGAAAATAAGGAAAATATTTTCGTTAGGGAGTGATAGATTTTTTAGACAATTTACTCTCTCTCTCTCTTTTTCATCTACTTATAAACAGAAAATGGGTAAGTGTAACATTTTCTAGATTAAAAATGAAAATAATCAAACATATTTAATTAATAATTTTCATGGAATTATCATAATAAAACACATCCTTAGATTTATTATAAAATTAAACTTAATTTTGTTTATTAAAAAATTTAAAACTATTTTAGAAAACCTATTAATACCAAAAGATTTCTCTTCTACAGCCTACAGGACAACCGCTTTTAATGTAATTGGGAGCGTACATTTTCAAAAGATAAAATCTTAATATTAGAGGATTTAAAATTTATTACGTTATTCTTCTTAGCGCACAATTTTTATTTCTTAATAAATTAAAGAACTAGTAATTGTTTTCCTGACCATTTAATAAACTAGTCGATTAACAATAGTCGCCTAGATCGAATTAGATCACTTAGTGCAACAAATTAGATCGGATAACGATTAATTAGTTAGTTGAATAGTGATAGGCACAAATAATATCTCAATGAAATAATTCGGGTAGCATATCATTCATCGATCGAACTGAACTAACATAATCCACACAATGAGATGGATATTGACAGAATTGTCGATATTGTTGTGTATTATAGAGAAAAAAGGGTTGGATTGATTAAAAAATGAATTATATTAGATAAACTTCCTAGAGAAATTAGGTGGGGGTATGATTACGACAGTGTAAGCAATGGACAAACAATGTAGAATCGTGCTACAGAGCCAGAACTGCCGACAGACGGCTTGACAGAAGAGATACAGCTAAAGTGGTCGGCATTTTTTATTCATGACGGGACCCGCAACAACCAGGAGAGGGGTTCATCCTTTCTGGCAAATATTTTCGGGCAGTTCGGCATTACCCAACAATGTAAGAGCAAAACCATATGTACAGAGAAGTTCTTCACAAAACTCTTACAGAACAGACCCATGAAGTCGGTCCCATGCGGGACTCATGTATGATAAAAAACTGCAAAAAACGTCGACCTCCCCCCTTTGGGTGTAGTCTGTAAAGTTTCTGTAAGTGTCCATTCTGTACGTGTAGTGCGGTTGAACAATATAATTATATAGGAATACATTATCGATTACAGTGTTCGTCTAAACTGCGTGTGGAATGTGATATTTATTTATTGTACAATTTTATGACATATATGTTTTGGTTATGAAGTCTTAGAATTAAATTGCAATGTATTATGATTTAGAATTTGAACTTTACTAAATTTTATAGGAACTAATTGGCCATGTTAATTACACTACATACGTGGATATAATATATAGTATGATCATGAGAAACATATTTGTGTACAAGGTTGAATGGACCGTCGTGGGAGAATACATAATGAAGTTTTTACAAAATTTTTAACAAGATTAATGAACTATTACATAATGTTTTATAGCTCGTTGCAGTCCAGTGGGACTCAGTCTCATCATCATTTATCACAACTCAACTATTCTTGTGATACTCGATGGACCATCCAGTCTTGATTATCTGAAAAATAGAAGGAATCAGAGTGTGACTTTCACAACAACTCGTGAGAAAAACGTGGTGCAATGTGCAACTGATGCGTGCAATGATATGGACATCTTTGTGTGCCTTTTTTATTTTATTTTTTATTTTTTTATGAAGTCCCATGATATATATTCAAGATTTATTTAGCTGGAGTAGATTAATAAAATTCTTTATGGAAAATTCAAAATTCCCAAAGAATATTCAAATGCATATCTTGATAGAAACATGATGAATTAAGGCATAAATATGATCATTTTTATCCTATTTTCTCTTGCTTCTTTATAAATGGCCATAAGATTATATTCTTTTGCCGAAGAATGTCTACACCATATACCATTTAAAATTTGAAAGAAATTACTGATCATTCTAAAACTCGTGAATTGAATATGTACAAATGCAAGTATAGCCTGCCTCGTACGTATGACACGGCCCATCATTGTATCAACACGAACCAAATCTAAATTCAACCTATACGTGGCGAAGCAATTTTGAAAATTTAAAAATGACTTAGCCCCAATTTGACAACCTTTAAAAATTTAAATTGTTTGCTACAATATCATTCTCCACCACACATTTAAAAAATATAATATTTTACACACAAACTAATAAAATTTCCTTACTTTTTAAAACACACATTCTCTAAAAATGTTATTCAAAACTCTTTATTTTTCACATAATGAGTGACAAACATGGCCTTAATATCCAAATCTCCATTAAATTAATTTTTGTTTCCTTCTGGACCACAAATGCAGCCGTACATGATTGACTAAAATTTATTATCAAGATCGGAATATTCATTATCGTCATCATTATTTCCATTGATTTAAAATTCAAAAATGCAAATGTAAATTTAAAACCAACGGTAAAGTTAAATTCCATTCAATCCCCTTTCTTTATCACCCGTTAATATGACCATTACACCTATAACTTTAACTCATCATTAATTTTAAAAAAGTCATTCAAGAAAATTCTGTTGTCACAAACTTTAGTTCCTGACTCGAGTCGATGTAGAAAACAACATCGTAATTCTGATAAATCTTTGACATTCATGAATTCTCGTAACTTGCCCCAAAATAGTTGACGAATAAAGCTTAGTTAGTTGCCATCAATGGTCACATCGATTCACCTCAATGTTGTATGTGAAAATCAAAACAAAATAAGCCAAAAAATAATGCTGCTTGAACAAGCTCAATAACAAGCCACTTTTTGATAGACTAATTTGGCAATTTTTGGTTGATAATTTTTTATTCAACTTTTTTTAACTGCCAATGAAAATTTCTCAAGTGTATCTGTATGTAAAAATCTGTTACTGACTCTATTTTTAGAGCAGAAGTGTAAACCAAAAGAGAATAGATTTACACGCCACAGCTGGAATTGTTAGGGATGTCAATCAAGAACAAAATAATCAAAGCCTGATGTACAAAGGCGGCTCACCCCCTCCCACCCCGCACGCCCGAGTCAATACCCCCGCCCGGCCTCCCCACCCATCTTCCTACCCCTTTCGTCTGTATAGTTTCTGTCTGCATTTATATTCCATCCTCCATTTCATTTCCCTTTGCAACTCACTTTTCTTCAGTTTCTCTAATACACGCTAGAAATGGACGTGGAGGTGGCGATTCCGTTGGGGACAACGGACTTCAACTTCGATAGTGCATGTACATCACCATACATAAGTGTCCCGTCGAGCCCTCAACGTTTTGGCACCTTCTTCTACAGTGTCCCCACCAGCCCTGACCGTGCGGCTGCTTTCTACAATGAGTTCAACCGTTCCTCTCCGTCGGCAGTTCCGTTTAACAGGGAAGAAAAGCCCGGAATTCCGAAAACACAAGAAACCTACAGTAGTTATTGTACTAGAGAAATTTATGATGATCAGAGGGATACAGACTTCTCTTTTGATTTTAGTGGACAACTAGAGAGAGTTTCTTTATCTGCTGATGAACTTTTCGATGGAGGTAAGATCAAGCCGTTAAAGCCGCCCCCGTGCCTAGAATCTAAGCCCCTCGACTTTCCAAAATCGCCTCGATCTCCCAAGAAGATGATCAAAGAAGCATTCTCCCCGCGCCACAGGAAGAAAGATTTCGATCCATTTGCAGCAGCAATTGAACAAAATCGTAAAGAAAACATTCAAGAAATCTCACGAGGAAGAGAAAGAAGTACTTCAAGTTCTAGGCACAAACAAACAAGGTCTTTATCCCCTTCCCGGGTTTCAGATTTGTTATTCGATCCTGACACCAATCAAGAAAAAACTAAGAATTCTTCTAAAGCGTCACTGTTTTCATCTCTCTCTTCATTATGTTACAAAAAATGGAAGATTAAGGACTTATTACTGTTCAGAAGTGCATCAGAAAGTCGAGCAACAGATAAAAACCAGTTCAACAAATACGCATTGCTGAAGAAGAACAATCTGGACGACATAAAGAATTCGAGCTTCAGGTCTACAGACAGTGTAGGATCATTGTCAAGTAGAAGACGAGGTCCACCAATTTCAGCTCATGAATTGTATTACACGGTGAGAAGGGCAGTTTCAGAGGAGATGAAGAAGAGGACCTTCTTGCCATACAGGCAAGGATTATTAGGCTGCTGCTTAGGCTTCAATCCTAATACTATTCAAGGTATGAATCTCTCTAAAGGGCTTGGTCCTACTGGTTCATTGTCCCGTGGGTGAAATCAGATTTTCTCAATCTGTATTTTTTTAACTGTTCATCAATGTGTAGGGTTTTCTTTAAATTCATTTTGTTCCAAAGAACAATTTTCACTTCTTCATTTCTTATATAATTCGATATTTGCATTCCGAACTCACATGTATGTATCAAATACGTGTTATACAATCGTCTGGTAATTTCACAGGATTTGTAATAGTAAAATTACCAAGCATAAGATGAACATTATGTAGGGTCATGGTTTGATAGATTTGTGCAATTACCTTTGTGAAAAGGCGAAAATCATGTTCACAGTATAGGGTGAAAAACTGGTGCATGTATTCATTTATTCACAGGTGTGGCGTCTAAATTTTTCATGGAAAATTTGTTATTATTTATGATACTAGCAGATCATCATAGTTTTTAAAATCATACACATTCAAGCGTTTCTTTGGGGAAATTAAAGAATCATACTGTCCATTGATATTGTCTTGTCTTCTTAGATCTTAGTATCACAAAACAAGGAAACAAAAAGGACAACTATTTTTCAGGCCTGAATTTTTTTGACAATTTTGTTTTAGCTCCTATTTGACAACGATACATTTAAAGGATAAAGATGTATGTACACACAAGGGGGTTACCAAATGATTTACATCCCCTCACAAACATGTGGATCCCACCTGTTATTAAATAATTCGAGTTGTGGTCCCCACTTTATGTTGTGAGTAGTGTGTAAAAGATTGTGTAAAAAATTGTGTACATGTAGCATGATCCACATTTAAAACTCTTTTTTTTTCCCTTTTTTTTTTAATTTACTTATTTTCAACCACAGCCACAATAAAATATTTTGCACATAACCTCAAAATTTTTTTCCTCCTTTTTAATCACAATTCTCCTCAAAATCACTACTCAAAACTCTATTTCCCTGGAGTATGGTTGTCAAGCAAGGGCTTCGTTTTGCACAAGGAAATGCACCCGGCGCACCTTCGGTACACCAATTGGATTAACAATTTATCAACCCGACTTGACTTTAATTGTTCTTGTCGTTTCAATTTTTCTTTTGTTAGGCTGCAACTTAAATATCTACTTTGTCACTGCTCAAAACATTCAATTAAATATGAAATTCAATTTTGTGGAACCATACTACTCACTTATCCATCAATCATACTAATCTATTTATAATTGAAACCGATTATAAGAACTCCCAAACACGAAGTTCTTGATTGATCGTTGGTTAACAGTAAAGTATTTATTTGTTCAATGGTTGGTCTCGTGGAGAAGACCTGCCTGCACTATTATTATTAATATGGTGGTCTTAATATAGTGTGAACAAGGTAAAAACGTGCCAGAGAATTCAGACAGAATATTAATCTCAGTCCTGTCCAATTGCCAATTTCTTTGCATAGGGACCCATACAGCTATACCCAGGTCCATTATACTCATTATCACAGTTGAAAAACCCCATTCTTACTATAAACAAACGTTGACTTGTGACTCGAAATACACATGATATACTTGTATGACCAAAATCATATAAGAAAAAAGAAAAAATGTGACTGTAACCCAGCAATCGCCACCGGTAACATTCGACTACATGTACACGAGCCTGGATATAATCAACACTTTCGGTGAAGAGTTGCTAAGTGAATATGCACATATGGTAAACATAATTTGCACTTCCTTGTCCAAGTTACTATAAGTATGACACGACAAGAAGGAAAGAAAACCACATCCGAGGTGAGCAAGCAGAAGGGATTTAGTGATATCATATTCATTTACACCAAGAAGATAAATCAGGCATATGTATGCTCGAAAAAAGAAGAAAACGAAGTACCAGAGATAATGTGGGTTGGTCGGACACAAACTGATGAAAATGAAACTAGAATACATGCCATCACAATGGCTTCTCGGTCCCTTCAACTTTATTCCGAGCAGCCTTCCTTGCCTTGATGATGACTGGCTCCTCTTGAGATACCGGAAAAATTACGCCAAAGAGGAGGTCCACTTGAAAGGCAAGCTAAATTTTTAATGCATGAGCTTACTTGAAATGGGGGTGGACTTATTGTCGCTATTTGGGGAATGACCCAATAGCGCCTTTGTAAGGTTTCCTTAGAAGTAAGGCCCAAACGGAGTGGGCTTGGGGTGGATTCCTAGGCCTGATTCTGGGTGATATAGGGTGGATTGCACCTCCCCCATCAGCTATAGCTTTTGGGCAAAGTAATCTCATCTCCCAACATCAAATTTCGATATTAATCTGATTCATTTGCCTGGTGCAATATTCTATTCATTTCCACTTGAGAATATAGCTCCGGAACTTCCAAATAAAGTTTCCAACTGCATTGGTCGTACAATACATCCGCCGGCCTAAGTAGTTCTCACATTATTTGGAAGAAGGCCATCTTTAGCCATTTCAGTGAGAATTTTAAATACTGCATCCATGTTCCCTTCTTTGTGATTGACCTCGACAAGGACTTTGGCAAGTTCACCGTCGGTGACCTTACAACTTCTTAATGTGTTATTTATAATTTGATTCAGCTCCTCACTCATCCCAGCTCTATGGACTTCTTTAATTAGGGCGATGACAGTTACAGCATGAGGAATAAGTCCTTGATGCACCATTTCCCCATACAGTTTAATGGCTTTGTTCAAGTTCCCACCTCTACAATGACCATGTATGAGAATATTATAAATTGTTTCATTAGGCTTGTGGTTCCTCTCAAGCATCATCTCAACAACTCGATCTGCCTCATTCATCAATCCTTTCATGCAGAATCCCTTTATTAGAGCTATCGCACTCTGAAACTCAATACTACTACAACTTTCTATCAGAAAATCATATGTCACATTGTGGGGAACAGGTTGCTCATAGAACAACTTGAAGAGGAGCCTTTTTGCTTCCTTGCTGCGAGCTTGTTTGTTAAGCCCATTTATTAGCACACTGTAGGTAACAACGTCTGGAAACAAACCCCTTTTGATCATTGCATCGTGCAGTTGGACAGCACTGCTAACATCGTCTTCAACGCAATAAGCATTAATTAGAGTAGTATATGTAAACTTGTCAGGTTGCAAACCTTTTCTCCACATTTCTTCAAATAATTCACAAGCTTCTGTCAGTCTCCTCTGCCCACAAAGACCTTGAATCAGAGATGAATAAGTAATGGAATCTGGTAAGATTCCCTTCTTAATCATCTCCTCTTTCATTCTGAATGCCTTATCTAAATCAAAATCCCTGCAGTAACCAGATACGATGGTACTGTAAGTTACAACATCTGGCTGTACTCCTTTCACAATCATATCTTGAATAACTCGTAAAGCATCTTCTATCCTACCAAGCAAACAATGCCCATTGACAAACGCATTGTACGTCACACTGGATGGTGAAAAGCCCCTGCCAATCATTTCATTCAAAACTCTATAAGCTTCGTCCACGAACCCCTGCTGGCAGAACCCATCAATAAGAGTTGTATATGTTCTATCATTAGGACTTAATCCCCTAGAGTGCATCTGATCGAAAAACTCCATTGCACGATGCAAATTCCTCACTTTACACATGCTATTAATCAAAGCAGTATAGGTCACAACATTGGGAGACAGCCCATTCCTTACCATCTCTCCATGAACAACAAGTGCCTGGTGAAAATTCCCATCTTTACAAAACCCATTAATGAGTGTGTTATAGGTAATCTCGTCTGGCAACAAACCATTCCGCTTCATCTCCTCAAAAACCTCACCCGTCTCCTTCATCCTCCCATCTCGACACAACCCATTAATTATCACATTAAACGTAATCACATTTGGCTCCAAATTCTTCTCCCACATCAATTTAATCAATCTAAAAGCCTCATCAACATTCCCCAATTTACAATAAGCATCTATTAATGTATTATAAGTAACCACATTTGGCACACAGCCCTTTCTCTCCATTTCCTTAAAAAATTCTAAACCTTTACTCAATTTCTTATTTCCACAAAACCCCCTAATCAATATATTATAGGTAAACACGGGGTTGGTCGGACACAAACTGATGAAAATGAAACTAGAATACATGCCATCACAATGGCTTCTCGGTCCCTTCAACTTTATTCCGAGCAGCCTTCCTTGCCTTGATGATGACTGGCTCCTCTTGAGATACCGGAAAAATTACGCCAAAGAGGAGGTCCACTTGAAAGGCAAGCTAAATTTTTAATGCATGAGCTTACTTGAAATGGGGGTGGTCTTATTGTCGCTATTTGGGGAATGACCCAATAGCGCCTTTGTAAGGTGTCCTTTGAAGTAAGGCCCAAACGGAGTGGGCTTGGGGTGGATTCCTAGGCCTGATTCTGGGTGATATAGGGTGGATTGCACCTCCCCCATCAGCTATAGCTTTTGGGCAAAGTAATCTCATCTCCCAACATCAAATTTCGATATTAATCTGATTCATTTGCCTGGTGCAATATTCTATTCATTTCCACTTGAGAATATAGCTCCGGAACTTCCAAATAAAGTTTCCAACTGCATTGGTCGTACAATACATCCGCCGGCCTAAGTAGTTCTCACATTATTTGGAAGAAGGCCATCTTTAGCCATTTCAGTGAGAATTTTAAATACTGCATCCATGTTCCCTTCTTTGTGATTGACCTCGACAAGGACTTTGGCAAGTTCACCGTCGGTGACCTTACAACTTCTTAATGTGTTATTTATAATTTGATTCAGCTCCTCACTCATCCCAGCTCTATGGACTTCTTTAATTAGGGCGATGACAGTTACAGCATGAGGAATAAGTCCTTGATGCACCATTTCCCCATACAGTTTAATGGCTTTGTTCAAGTTCCCACCTCTACAATGACCATGTATGAGAATATTATAAATTGTTTCATTAGGCTTGTGGTTCCTCTCAAGCATCATCTCAACAACTCGATCTGCCTCATTCATCAATCCTTTCATGCAGAATCCCTTTATTAGAGCTATCGCACTCTGAAACTCAATACTACTACAACTTTCTATCAGAAAATCATATGTCACATTGTGGGGAACAGGTTGCTCATAGAACAACTTGAAGAGGAGCCTTTTTGCTTCCTTGCTGCGAGCTTGTTTGTTAAGCCCATTTATTAGCACACTGTAGGTAACAACGTCTGGAAACAAACCCCTTTTGATCATTGCATCGTGCAGTTGGACAGCACTGCTAACATCGTCTTCAACGCAATAAGCATTAATTAGAGTAGTATATGTAAACTTGTCAGGTTGCAAACCTTTTCTCCACATTTCTTCAAATAATTCACAAGCTTCTGTCAGTCTCCTCTGCCCACAAAGACCTTGAATCAGAGATGAATAAGTAATGGAATCTGGTAAGATTCCCTTCTTAATCATCTCCTCTTTCATTCTGAATGCCTTATCTAAATCAAAATCCCTGCAGTAACCAGATACGATGGTACTGTAAGTTACAACATCTGGCTGTACTCCTTTCACAATCATATCTTGAATAACTCGTAAAGCATCTTCTATCCTACCAAGCAAACAATGCCCATTGACAAACGCATTGTACGTCACACTGGATGGTGAAAAGCCCCTGCCAATCATTTCATTCAAAACTCTATAAGCTTCGTCCACGAACCCCTGCTGGCAGAACCCATCAATAAGAGTTGTATATGTTCTATCATTAGGACTTAATCCCCTAGAGTGCATCTGATCGAAAAACTCCATTGCACGATGCAAATTCCTCACTTTACACATGCTATTAATCAAAGCAGTATAGGTCACAACATTGGGAGACAGCCCATTCCTTACCATCTCTCCATGAACAACAAGTGCCTGGTGAAAATTTCCATCTTTACAAAACCCATTAATGAGTGTGTTATAGGTAATCTCGTCTGGCAACAAACCATTCCGCTTCATCTCCTCAAAAACCTCACCCGTCTCCTTCATCCTCCCATCTCGACACAACCCATTAATTATCACATTAAACGTAATCACATTTGGCTCCAAATTCTTCTCCCACATCAATTTAATCAATCTAAAAGCCTCATCAACATTCCCCAATTTACAATAAGCATCTATTAATGTATTATAAGTAACCACATTTGGCACACAGCCCTTTCTCTCCATTTCCTTAAAAAATTCTAAACCTTTACTCAATTTCTTATTTCCACAAAACCCCCTAATCAATATATTATAGGTAAACACGTTAGGCGAAATCCCACACTTTATCATATCAAGATACAAATTTTGAGCTAGCTCAACATACCCATGTGCCGCAACCCTAATTATTGCATCAAGAACCGAATTATACGACAATACACTAGGCATAAACCCGTGAGATTTAGCTAAATTTATCATGTTCAGAGCTGTATCTAACATTTTCAAATTAGAGTACGACTTTACCATTAAATCAAATACCGCTGAGCTCGAATTGCACAACTGGTAAGACTTCCTGAGGCATTCAAAAACCAAGTTTCCTTTTTCATCATCAGGGAAATGTAAGGCGACGCCCTCGGCGAGAGACTGGGCGGTCTTGTAGAGCTTGAAGCGTGTCAGAATGTGAATAGCGATGCACTTGCATTGGAGGTTTTCGAAAAATGGGAAATCGCGAGCCCAGTTGAGGAATTTTAGGATAAGGGTTTGGTTATTTTGAGACTGGAGGAGTAAATATGCAGCGGATTGAGGAGTAAAATGGGGAACTAAAGAGTCAAGAGATGATGGGTGGTGGCGCTTGAGGATGGATATAGCTTTTTCCACAAGGAGAGCGTCCGGCGTAGAGGAGAGAGGTGGAGAAGGTGGCTCCAACGCTGGTGTTGGTTGTAAATTTATGGATATAGCTCGAAAATGTGAGTGGCGGAGGGCACTGCGTAAGAGTTTATGGAGGAGCATATCGGGGAAGATGAACAGAAAATTTTTCATGACAAAGTCAAACTAATCTGATTCATTTGCCTGGTGCAATATTCTATTCATTTCCACTTGAGAATATAGCTCCGGAACTTCCAAATAAAGTTTCCAATTGGTCGTACAATACATCTGCCGGCCTAAGTAGTTCTCACATTATTTGGAAGAAGGCCATCTTTAGCCATTTCAGTGAGAATTTTAAATACTGCATCCATGTTCCCTTCTTTGTGATTGACCTCGACAAGGACTTTGGCAAGTTCACCGTCGGTGACCTTACAACTTCTTAATGTGTTATTTATAATTTGATTCAGCTCCTCACTCATCCCAGCTCTATGGACTTCTTTAATTAGGGCGATGACAGTTACAGCATGAGGAATAAGTCCTTGATGCACCATTTCCCCATACAGTTTAATGGCTTTGTTCAAGTTCCCACCTCTACAATGACCATGTATGAGAATATTATAAATTGTTTCATTAGGCTTGTGGTTCCTCTCAAGCATCATCTCAACAACTCGATCTGCCGAACTAGGCTTAAAGAATTTATGGATTAATTTTAACCAAGCCCCTAATATATGCACTGTTTTGCATCTTAGTTCTTTGCTTTGACAATTAAATCCTCAACACTCTCAACTACACACTTGTCGGAGAATTGCAGCACAGATCGCCAGCGGGAAGAGAGGCAAATGGCGAATGGGGCCACCGAAGCTCTACATGACATCATACAATTTACAAACCTTCAACCTTCAAGGCATCGATCTCTCCGATTAGTATCTTTCCATGTATATTTTTCCGAATTTTCGATGCTAGACTCCAGTTTCCCTTTAATTACATTTAAACTCCTGTCCCCCCCCCCCCCTCTCCCCGCGGCCTTTTCAGGTATTGTCACCTACGTTCTGGGGGAGAGCAATCCGGTCATTGAGTGTTTGGACAAATTGAAGCACCTGAATGAGAACCAAGCAAAAGATGAGAATGCAGCGAATGAAATTGTGGTGTTGTTGGTTGAATTGAATAGTATGTGGAAGGACAGAAATATACTAGTACATATGCAGTGTCCATGGAGGGAGATCCACTTTGAATAAAATATATTTTATTTGGACTGGGTTTGATCGGGTTGGTACAAAATGAAAGGAAAACTATTTAGAATTTCTCTAGTATTTTCTCTTCATAATCTATTACTCTATCACTCCATATGATTTACAAATGAGACTACACATCATTTGTAGACAAAGTAAGTTGAAATCATAGTCAATAATTTTGTTGATCATAATTTGAAGGTCAACATGCACCACTTTATAATTACCATGAATTCCATTAACTTTTGCTCAAACTTCAAACGAATTCCACTAATGGTTTGCATTATTAGACACATCACTGTCTTGAAGATCCATGTTAATGCAGAACGATATTCTCTTTTTATTTGAATTGATAAATGAATAATTAGTCTAAAAGATTGAACAGTATTTTCAACAATGTTGATCTTATAAAATGAAACCTCAAAATATGAAAATTGAATATTCTTATTCATTTGCATTGTTTTTTTCTATTCTTTGGAAATAAGACAAGCTCATGAACATATCATCTTGATTTCGAATAAAGTTAATGGATCATCCCTTTATACATTTGATACGCCGTATTGAATTGATAGATGCAATTAGAATATACAAGATTAAAAACTATAATATAATGGATTAAAGGGAAAAATAATCCATCATATTATGTATATAAGGAAGAATTTCCATGGGTTTCATTGGGTGGCAAGGGGCCGAAGAGGGTCTCGCACCTCCGAGCGTAGAACATATCAGATGTTGTTAGCCAATCCCCAAGGAGAGGATCCCAGAAGTAGGGGATCGAAGCTAGCGAAGTGAACCGTTAGAAACCAGGGTATAAATAACAAGAAGTCAGGCATGAAAGCTAAGTGAAGTGACTAGAGTGTTAGGGTGCGGTGCCAATTCATTCTTAACTTAAGAGGGAAGTGAGCTAGCCTTCCTTTGGCAAGGGAGGATGAGAACGAAACCTGTTCTTAAATAACAATAGCAGCTTACGGCAAATTTTGAGGAAGAAAAAGATGTGAACATGAAAAGTTAGTCAGACCTAGGGTTAGGGGAATCTAGTTCATTGAATTGCCTTATTCCGAGAGTAGAAAGAAGAGATGTAGTAAGCATTCAAGATTGGCTTGGTCGTCATCACACCACTCGCTGATGCGAATCTTGGAGGCTGGGTCATGATGCATTGAATACGAATAAGCTCTTCTTTCATTCCTCTTGTTCAAATGCTTTTTCTTGGATTCGAAATGGGAGCTGCACGTTAGCACTTTACTTTATGGCTTTTTCGGTATAAGAGGTCTTGTCTTTTTGCTTTTTTAGCATGATAAGCAGTCTTGGTTCTTTGTTCGGTGAACTAGTCTGACTTTACTTTCCTAGTCAAAGGCTCTTCTTGATCTGCTTTTTCCAGGAAGAACCCAATAGTGAGATTGATCTTTCTTTGAGATCTTTCTAAATTGACTCTTTTGCTTCATCTTCGTATCAAACTCTCCAAATAGGTTCTTTTCTTGCCAAAAGTAGCTCTTCTTAGGTAGGGCAGCCAGTTTATCACTCTATATAGGAAAATCCTTACTCTCCGAATGCTTAGTTATCCTTGAATGAGAACTCTTGTTTCCGGTCCTCTATGTAAGGATAGCTTTAAAGGGAGTTCTTAGCCCTTCTTTAATCTGTCTCTGAGTCTGATTAGATTCATTAAGCTGGGAATCTCTTCTTCTAGCGGTCTGCTAACTGTGCTTGAAGATGCTCTACCGAATCTATGAAGTCGGTGTAATCTATCCTGCTGAATGTAAGTGAAATCGAGAATGGACTCTTTGCTAAGTCGGTCCTTCCCCCCTCTCTCCTTCCATTGTGTCTTCTGATTAGACTGAAGAGCTCTAAGGAACTGGGATGTGGATCTCTCTCTGTGAGCCTCCCGTAGGACACTCTAAGGCCTTTCAAGGTAATGACTATCTTCTTTACCTTATAACATCCTCCTTGCCGAATGCAGGTAACTGCCATGGGTCCACAGAAATCGGTATGAATTAGTTCCAAAGGCCTTGCTGCTCGTCACTTGCATTCTTTTGGAAGAGGGGTACGGTCTTGCTTGCCTAGCATACACCCTTCGCACCTTGAGGAGTGCGGTGATAAATGAGGTTGAACCCTAACCAAGTTTGTCTTACTTAACTTCACTAAGCTGTTGAAGTTAAGATGCACCCAAAACAATCTCTAATGCCATAAAAGATTAGGCTCCGTACCTATTTGATTTACCTGAGACTCAATAGACTTTCCCTAGAAGATCCATATTACTGAATTGTGAATCCTCTCTCACCTCTGACGCTAAATCCTCGCATTGCACCGCGGTCAGTTTCCCAGGTAAAGCTTTGCTTAGGAGGTCCCTCTCGATTTCTGACGGCCTGCTCTTCTTTTTCTCTTGCAAGCGGAGTATGCTCTATAGGGATTATCGAGCACAAGCCATCAAAGTTATAAAAAGCATTTACCACGTTACTCGTATGATCCCTGAGAATACAACCTCCACCCACTCACTAGAGGACACTGGTTTTTTTCAGCAACAACCTACTTTGTACCTTCCTGAGAAACAGTCTTTTTCCCACACGAAAGAGTGGAATGCCCAACGTGCTAAGTAATATATGGAACTGATCACGACCCAAGGCTTTTGTGAATATGTCTGCAAGTTGTTGACCAATAGGAAGATGAGCGGTGGAGATGACCTTAGCACGAAGTTTTTCGCGTACAAGATGACAATCAATTTTGATATGCTTCGTGCGTTCATTAAAAATTTGATTGTCGGCGATGTGAAGAGCAGCTTGATTATCACGGTAGAGCTTCATAGGTTGAGTATGAGATACACCAAGGTCCTGAAGAAGCAATTGAAGCCAAAGAAGTTCACAAGTGGTGGAGCGGCGAGCAATGGGATAGCTTACCTAGTCAGAATTTGAGAAATCGTAGATCTTTAAATCACATTTGGAAGGTAAGAAAATACCTTTGCCAGGTGAGGATTTAAAAAGATTTGACGATGAAGTCGTCCAATTTAGCACGCTTCAATTCTGATGAATGGATGTCTATCGAAGTGAGGTCTTCCTGGTTCCGACGAAGAGAGGTGAAAGCTACTGTAAGTTGTTATAGTGGCCAGCATAATAGCGCTGGCGCTAGTAGTATATGTGAAGAAGTTTATTTCATTTATCTCTTTTAATAGATATACTTGTTTAATAGAAAGGCTTTAGAATATCCCTACTATATACTACCTTCCCCTCCACTGAAAATCACTCTTACTCGGTCCGCGACAGGGTGAGAATAGTTAGGTCGAAATGAGCGTCTCCTTTATGAGGAGGTTGCGTTGCTTTCTGAGTCTTATAACGAATTTGAAACTCCAATTTTTTTGAAACTCTGGTTTATTGAAGAAAGATAGAACAAAGAGTACAGTAGTGGAGAAATTGTGGATGTCTATCCAGAGGAAGATGAATAAAAAAGATGTGAACATGAAGAAAGAAGAGAGAGGGAATGCTTTGCCAGCGAACCAGTAGCAATCCGGTGAAAAGCCAGTAGCACGATAGCAGTTCCTCGGTCTCAGTCCATTCAATCCATTCAGTCAAGCCAGTTGCAAACCGGTCTATCTATCAATCAGAAGAAAGCTCTAGTTCAATTAAGTAACCTACGAAGGAAGGCGGGAAAATGGTTGAAAGCTAGTATGGTACCAATACTAATGCTTTGATTCAACTAGTAGCGAAGGTGCTAATTGGTATCATTCCAATAGTTGTCCAAGGGTCAAGGGGTACACAGCCGATAAACCAATCTGTCTTCTCACTCTTTCTTTTCCATTCCCATTGGGATGTGCTAAACAACTTTCAATTTTCACTTTATGCTTGATAGTTTACTTTCTAGGGCATATAAAGTTTTGTATCATACGAGATTTAGTGCAAGGAGCAGCCTAAGGTAAGGCAAAGAAGTCAAAGAAGAAGAAGTAACGATATGCCGCCTTATAATTATAA